CCAAAAGGGAGGTCAGTGCTGCGTGAGCCTGCTGCCACTGCGTCCCCTCTCTTTGCTGGTGGCAAGTTTGAGGCCCTTCAGGCACCAGACCCTCCGTCAGAGACCTGAGCCATTGAGATGAGGGTTTGGCTTTGCATGTAGCCAGTCCCTCACAGGCCAGAGAGCCAGGGAGGGTTCTGTCCCTGCAGAGACGTGCTGGTGGCGTCAGGGACAGCCCAGGTTTGGCTCCCTGGGGAGCTCAGGCTGGGCTCAGCACCACCTGGCTCCGTTCTGCAGCTCCCTTCAGCCACGAGCAGGCGGGTGCTTGGCAGCAGCAGCACAAATGTGCTGAACTCTCGTTGCCTCAGACATGCTGGTGGCCAGAGGAGGGAAGCCCTGTCTGGGCTCATCCCAGCGATCCAGGAGCGAGTTGGCTCCTTCGGGAGTGACAACTCATCCGCAGCTATTTGTGTTTCTTTGTGTTTAATTATTTATCCCAATAACGAAAAGTTCCATAGCTCTTGCATGTGAGAGTCTATTTTTAGGCCTTTTCTCCTCGATAGTTTCAGACCCAGATGACTGATAATTGCATTTAGTATCTATAGAAAATAAGCTGCTCTAAAGCAAAGCTTTCCTGAGGGCTCTTCACCTGCATGGAGGGGAGGGTTGTGGGGATGGGAAGCCTGGATGTGGGGTGACCTTGGGTGCAGTGTGCCCTTTCCCACTCCTCTGCTGTGGGTGGTGGGTGCTGAGAGCCCTCAGTAACGTTTTCTGACCCTCCTCTCTGGAAGGAAAGGCAGAAGCACATGGAGGAAGGGAATATCCTGGATTTGCAGCAGAGGAAGGACGAGGAACGCCGGAAGATCCGAGAGGAGAAGGCGCGCCTGGCCCGACGTGCTGCCATCCAGGTAGGGACGAGGCAAGGACCGTGTGGCCCGCAGGGGACTGTTTGTTGGCGAGGCAGCGAGAGGGCCTCTCCCCTGCGTCCCTGGGGGCTTAGCATGAAGCAGGATTAGAGCCAGCCTTGGAAATGGGGTGCTCCCTATGGAGATGGAGGTGCTGCAGAGCAGTTCCTCGCTGTGCTCCTGCCAGTCCTTGGCAGCTCATTCGCAGCTTGCTGGTTTCCATCTAGCTTCTGGGGGAAAGGGTGACCCTGCTGCAACAGGGAGACTGTAACTGCAGCCCCTTGGAGTGGCTGGGAAAGGGATGCTCCTCAGGAGCAGGGTCCCTCCAGGGTGGGCTGCGGCTGCTCTGTGCTGTTGGCAGGCGGCCCCGCGCCATCTGCACCGTGTTCTTGCAGCAGGGAAGGGCTGGTGCTGCTGGGGCACAGATGAGGGGCTGGCACAGCCCGTGGGCTGTTGCATGTTGGCTCCTCGTACAGCTGAAGATGTTTTAAACCTCAGTTTCTCTTTGCCCTAAATGGAATCGTGTTTCACTGGGGCCGTGGGGAGACACGGAGCAGCTGGAGGACAGCAAAAGGCTCCAGCAGCCTTTCACACATGTGCTTGTGCCTGAAGTGACTTCCCAAAGCTCGGCTGAGGCAGCCCCTGGGGCCCTGCGGCGTCGCTGCACTGCGCAGTGCTTGGCCCTCGGGATTTGGAGGCCCTTCATGGAGCAGGAGAGGTCACTGTGCAGGGGCATGTGAGCAGCCCTTGTTCACATGTGGAGCTGGCAGGACCCTGAGAGCCCTGAGGAGAAGAGCTGTTGTTCCTGCGCTCTCCCTTCCCCCTGTTGCTGTCCTTGTTAACCCTTCACAGCAAGCGTGTGGGTTGCTGCTGTCTCCCAGGCCCTTGCTAGCACTTAGAGCAGTGCAGGTGTGTGTCAAAGCACAGCCTGCGCCGGGCAGGACGCTGATGGCTTGTCTGTTCCTGCAGGAGCTGCACCAGAAAAGGGCCCAAAAGGCTTTGGACACAAAGTGCTTGGCAGAAGAAGAGCTTGCGCTGGTGAAGGAGAGCAGAAGGGTAGCAAAGAAGAAGCCGGCCAAACCTGCTTCTGCAAGGAACGTCAGCCCAGCCAGCAGTGTCACCAAAGCCAACAATGCTGGTGAGTCCCTTCTGCAGGTCTCGGATGCTTTGGAGCAGTGTGTGACGTGAGGGGGAAGGAGGAGGATGGAGGAGCAGCTCTCCAGGAGCAATTTCGAAGGGGCTGCTTGTTGCAAGTGCCTGAGAACAGTCTGGTTCCTGCAGAGGCCAATTTCCACTCAGGAGCTGCAGAGCCAGAAGAAAGCAGCCTCACAGACCTTGTCCCCCTGCCCTTGCAGGACCCTGGGGCAGAGGAGAAGCTGCAGGTGGGTCGGGCTTTGCCTCGTGGGGCTCCTGCCACCAGCCTTTCTGCTGTGGTGGCTCTGGAGCCTTCACTGACTTCTAGAAAGATCCAGCAAACTTACTGCAAGGTGTTGCTTCTCCCCAGGACGTGAGCTCCAGGGAGCTGGGTGCTGAGGACCTGGAGACAGTGGTGACTGCTGCCAGCAGGTCTCAGTCCAAAGTCACTCTCAATGAGCTGCTGGACACGCTCAGGCTGTTGGAGGAAGAGCCCGAGCTGCTGCCCCCACCGAAGCTCTTCAAGAAGGACAGATACGCCTGGGCAGACGGGGTGAGCAGAGGGCTCAGGCTGGCTGCGTCCACCCTCAGGCAGTGGTGGCTGCCTGGTGACCTCCCCGTGGGCTGCCTTCTCCCAGCACTGCTGCGTGGTGGAGGGGGGGGAACACAACTGGGTCACTGCCAGAGAAGGTGCTGGAGGGGTTTGAAGGTGCTGGAAGGGTTTAGTTTGGAGCAACACCATGTGAGGGCTGTGGCGGGAGTGGGGTTAGCACAGAGGGTAGGGCTGGTTACAGGGTGCAGTGGGAGGGCTGGGCTGT